TATTAATCAAAATTGCAAATCTAGGTGAAAGTTTGATTCCATTTGCATTATATCTTTTATCAATAATGAGAAAATACACTCAAATGAAAAGAAAGCAAAAGAGAGCATCTAAATCCTACATCATGCTCTAAAGACCCTTCCTCGTCCGGCTATCTCAAATAGCAGGTCATCACATCTCCTTAAGTATATCATGAAGGACTCGAGGAGGTTGTATTATGTTCCTTTATAGATTTTTCTACTCAAATTTTGCGGACGTATTACCTCTCAAGTAACCAAATTAGCTTGATTATTCATCCTAATAAGATTTTCATGGCATTTAACACATATTTCTAATAAGTGGTTATGCATGTTGGATGAATATACGAGTTGTCTATGCTAGTCTACCTCCAATCGTTAGTTGTCCCTCTCTAATGAAATAATCTTCTTTTGAGCCTCTTCAAGTTATTCTTCCAATTCTTCTTTGTTATTGCATTCCATCCGTAGAGATTTTTCCAGATCAACATTGTTCTTCAAAAGCTATCCTATTTCAATTTTTTTGACACCGGATCATATTTAACTTGATCATATTGACATTGTAGATCATCAAATTTTGCAAACTTCGAGGATAACTCTATTTGGAATCAACGACGGAGGGTCTTCCAGCTTATCCTCTTTAATTGCTATGTCTTTTCATGTTTGAAGCCCTCCCTCCATTCCTCTCATTTCATTCTTAACCTTTTTCTTTTTCTTCTTTTCCTCGCCTAAGTTGTTCATTATCTTCAATCTCTCGGCTTTGAGGTGCTTAATCTCCTCTTTCATTTCATCTTCAACGGACTTAACTTCTACAATGTCATTTTATTCTCTCTTTCTTTTTCCATGGGTTTGGCATGAAATTTCCTTATAAGACATTTGGGAGAAGCCATTACTTAATGAAACCATCGACAGAGGTATGTTGGGTTGAACTGGGTAGGCTAGAGGCTTGTAAATTTTCACTCTCATCGATTCCGGATAAGATACCTTACGGTGGTGGTCGTCTCTCGACCAACTATTTATTAATGTACATTCCTTGTACTAACCACTCTTCCTTAATGATCTTCAAAAATTTAGGCAAGGCATCACTCTTCAAACTCCCTTTAAACTCCATAAGACCCTTTATCTTTGTTACGTATTGCTCATAATCGAGCTGGTGAGACACCATGATAGTTATATAGCTCTTGTCCCCTATTTCCCTAATAAGATGAACTCATGGGTATCTCCATAATAAGCCAAATAGGAGACTTGGTTCATCCATACTACCATCCATAAAATTTTATTGGTTGGTATTTCAAAGAACATAGTCACCCCTTTATGCTCTAAATGGTTTTTTTAGATTATGAAGATAACCATGCCGACTTGAAAATGGACTTGTGAGCTTTAATGTGATTGATAATCCGGATAAAAACTAGTTGTACGTAACCCCTTATAGTGTCTTTGCCCATTTTGCTATAATGATTCAAAGATAAGATGGTCTCTACCAATACCGATATGGTAGGATTCACATTGTTCTTTTCAACATCAATGAATATGTTAGTTGCGTCTAAGTTGATTACCCCACTAATCGAAGGGAATAGTACTAGCTTGAAGATGTTGAGTGCTAGGATCCCGATCCTTTCATAACTATCTCTTTGATCTTTCAAGCTTCAATCAAATGGCTTGTGTCATATTTCTTAGTTGCATCCTTCAATTATGCCCTTTACCCATTCACGGGGCATATTTTCATTCAACTAACTTTAAGCCCTATTGGCAACCTTATCACGATGACGATAGAGGTATACTAAATATGGAAAGTTTGGCATTTAGAGCGAGTTAGTGATACTCTTAAAGAGTGGAGGTCATATCAACATTTTTGAAGTAAAACATCAATAGGAGGGGTCCCATAATTGGATTAGCGATTTGATTGCCAATTTTTGAACAAGAATCTCAAGGAGCTAAATTCCCATATTTAATCTTGCACTTTTGTCAATCTATAGGTACCAACTCGGTTCTAGCATTCTAGAAGCTTTATCGAATTATTGATGACTCGCTTGAATGTGCACCACATCTTGAAGGTTACTCCGAAACCCCTCTATTAAATAATTGCCTTCTTTCAATTGATAAGCCTCAAACTCCCTCCGGTATTCAAAAGCCATCTTGAAATACATATTAGTCATTTTATCACTAATCCTAAAATATCGTGACCAAATTATTTTAGTCAAGATTTCATTAAAGTTTGACTTGCCCGTGACATTTACTAGGTAAAACCCTAGGGTCCGGTTTTAAGCCATTACGTGAATGGAATAGGATCTATGTAAGTCTTAAAAGGGTCGCTTCAAGCTTGACGGATCGTAATAGAATCATTGAGACCGCTAAATGCGATGGTTGGTGAGCGTGAAAAATCATCGATTACCCATTGGGTGATAACAACTAGTGAAGAGTTGAGATTTCATAAGTGTTTACCCAAGATGAAACCCATCGAGACCCCACTACTACCTCCCTTAATCCCGAGGAAAGTGTGTGATAAACATGAAAAATAATAATGAGTGCAATGTGTGCATAGGCATTATTCGATATTCGAGTCCCAACATAAAAATAAAGACACAAATAATAATACCAAAATAAAATAAAAATAAACGAGAATAAAATTACAAGCCAAACAATGGCAACAAGGAATGAATGTAAACAAGGCATGAAAATTACATAAATCAACATACGAGCATAAAATGAATAGCTAACTCTAAGTATACCCCCGAGTTGAGTTGTCATTCATCATTCTATCTAGGGCCATATCGAGGCAAGGGCGAGGGCCACGATTTTGGGAAAACAATAGGAAAAATGGGTAAATATAATTGGATTCACCATTTAGTATTATGGTTGCTAGAAAACCCTATGATTAGTCTATTTAGAGTTCTAGATAAGGAGTTTATTACATATAGGGAAGATCAAAAATCAACTCGCCTCGTCTTGCCAAAGGCAAGTCGCATTGTATATAACATTGATTTGATTTACGATTTTTTTTTATGAAAGCCTATACTTATTTTCTAAATATTTGCCCACTAGTCAAGTGATTTAGGACTTGGTAGGCCAAAGACTTTATCCTCACTCTATAATGAATAGCTAGAAAGTGAAAGGACATGATGAACGAGCAAGGATATGTAACTAATGTGACGTGAATAGCGCATGTGAAAACAAGGCTTAGAAATATGTAAATAGACAAACAGACAAAGTAGGCAAATTAGCAAAATAGGCAAATTAGCAAAAAATAAGCAAAATATGCAAATTCGTAAAATCCATAAATAGGTGATTAGGAAAAATTAGCAAATACACAAAAATAGACAAAATTAACTAACCGGCAAAATAGTCAAATATGCAATTAGACAAAAATAGGCAAAATCGACAAAAATGAGCAAATAGGTATATAAGGGAAAATAGGTACAATAGACAAAATTGATATATTGACAAAATCAAAAAATAAGCAATTAGGCAAAAACAGGCAAAAAATGCAAAAATTGACAAATAGACAAATCGTCGAAAATAGGAAAATAGGCAAATAATGGCAAGTAGGTAAAATAGGCAAAATGAAAAAAATGGCAAAATTAACAAAAATCATTAAAATTGTTAAAAAAAAACAGTAGCAAAATCAATAAGAATGATGAAAGTGGTAAAATCAATGAAATTGGCAAAACTAATAACAAAGACAATAAAAGCGATAAAAAAACAATGAAGTTATCAAAATTGATAAATTTTAGTGAAACATAGCAAAAAACGCAAAATAGACAAAGTTGGCAAAAATTGCAAAAACAATATGACGAGTAAGGACTTAAATCGATACAACCTTGAATATTGTGAATTTTTAGGTAAAATCAACACCATGTCAAACCAATTGTCACAATGTGCCATAATGGTCCGAAGCAAGGCTATGATCAACACGACTCAAAATCACATCTTTTAAAGACAAATAAACATAATATACATTAACCAATGCTACGGACCAAAACTATCTTAAAAAAAAGTTTCAAACCAACATAACTCAAGAATCACATTTTTAAGCAAATTTGGCAACAATGTCAAAATTAATCATTATTTAACAATAAAATGACCCAAACAACAAGTTTCAAACCGACATGATCCATAATTATATTTTTGGATAAAATTATTACATGAGCAATTGGACGTTAAAAAAAGATCTAAAAACATAGTTTGGGTCAATGAGAAGCAATAACCCAATATTTTTTAGAACCAATTGACGTAACTCGATTAATGATCACGATCGACCAAAAAATAGTCCAAAAATAAAATTCAATCTAACACATCTTAAAAGTCACATAAGGAACAACAAACAACTTAATCATATCAACAATAAAGAATATCGGTTAAACCAATACCAACACAACAACAGTTTGATTAAACCATATGCACGATAACAATTAAATCAAATTACACGTAAGTAATAATTTAAATTAGTTACATGACAACAATGACTTAATTAATTATAAACACATAAACACAAATTAAATTTAATACACATTAACATAAAAAAATATATATATATAAGGTAAAAATAAATTACTATAAAAAAAGGCAAAATGAATTTGTTCGATGAACTTAGGGTCGGTTCCAACCTTTTCAACCTCGATGGAGATTGATATTCGGTTAATCGGAGAGGAGAGATGGTTGCACGTTGTTGGATCCGGGTCGGGTGGCATGGTGAGGTTGTTGGATCTAGCTAATCGGACGATGTGGAGTTGGATGGGGACGTTAATCGATTACTAGATTAGTTAGAGGAGAAGCTAACCGAAGCTAGACCGATCGATTGGGCTAGTGGGGGCCGGCCTAAACTACTAAAGGGAGAACAGGTCGATGAGGAGCTCCTGGATGTTAGTGGAGCTTTGGTGGAGGCTGGTGGAGTAAATTGGATGGCGTGGCAGGTCGATAGATTGCTTGAAGGAGCTACCGGTGCTATTTGATTGGATGAGGGGCTTTGGTTCAATTTGAATGACTAGGGGATGTCGACCGAAGTTTGGGAGGTTGTTGGTTGGGTTTGGTGGGTCGGAGTGGCTGATTGGAGTTTAGAGAGGCTGCTCGGTTCAATTTGGTGTGGTCGGAGAGCCGAACCGACTAATGAGGTCGATCGAATGTGGAGGAAAGGTTGGCTGAAAATTCTTTTAGGGAGAGAAGGTGTGTGGTCGCTGGTTTTAAAGAGAGAAAGTAGCTAAACTTTTTAGAGAAAAGAAGGCTTTTATACTAATTTTTGGGGGTTTTTTTTTTTTTTTTTTTTTGCTAAAGTTTGGTTTGGTCATACATCTCACCAACTTGTTTTATTTTGGTCCTTTTCTCTCCCATATTTCAATTGCATCTCTCACCTATAATTTTTCAATCCTGTTTTTTTTAATTTTTTTTGGATTTTTTGGGAAACTTTTTTGTGCTAACGTGAATAGCGACGATTGAGGTTTGATACCAATAGACATAGTAGAAGCAAACAAAAAATAAATAAATATCATTGATCTAAAATTCAGATGCTAGTCTATTATAATATGTTAAAGTATGCACAAATACCGGGAAATAAGCTTCAATTTTGTTGATTCAAAGAATGTTAGAAATTAGGAAAAACTTAAGATACTTTGTCAAAAACTTTTATTAATCAAAGAAAGCTACATTTTTCAGCCTCTAAGTCATACATAAGTAGAAACATTTATCCAAAACCTTAAAGCAATTCAAAAAGAAACAAATAAAAAAAATCCAAAAATAAGAAAAAAATACTAAAAAATAGCAAAAATCAATTTTAGGAGCCTAAATAAGGTTTTTTTTTGTCCAAAATCACCTCGACATTAGAGACATAGCCTATGTGTTTTGTTTGTTGGCACGTTTAGCATTAAACTAGACCCAAAAAACCTTAGAATTGGACTCGATAGTTTTTTTCATTTTCTCGTTGCACTTATACGGTTCTATAAATTCCAAGCCTTGTTAATCCATATTAGTGTTGGTCCTTTTGTCCAATAGTTATCTAGAAAACTTCTTGAACATCGACTCCATTCTAAGTTTAGTTAGTATGTGACTTCTTCGAGCCAATAATGGTGGGATAAATTTTTTCATTTGTTATCCGATGATATGTATTTGCATATTCACTACACTAAAAAATGGCATTCCAAGTGGGTTTTTTGTCTTATAAAGGCGGTTATAACCGCCTCTATAAAATCTAACGGTGGTTATATAAACCACATATAATGTCACTATCTCTAAAATGTAGGATGGTTTTTCCAACTATTAGGGAATTTTGATGCGATTTCTTAGAAGTAGTAGAACCACCTCAAAATAATATTTTAAGGCGGTTAAAATCGCTCCTATATCAATTTTCCTACTTAAATTTTTAGCGCATGAGGTGCTTGGTAACACCTCTAGATTCTTGGGAATGTTTTATATTTTAATATGAAGAAATGATTTAAGAGGGGTGAAACCATCTCTAACTTAAAAGAAATACGGTTATAGAGGCAATCACATAACCACCTCTAGTGTTTTAGTTTTTTTACCCTTCAAATCGAATAATTCTACTACTTCTTCTTCTTCTTCTTTTTGTGTAAAAAAAAATAATTAAACATTGTTAAATATAAATAAAAGATATATAGCTTTATGATTAAGCACTATCTATTTAGATTTCCAATCAATGGAGCTTGAAATATAGTGAATAATGTGAAGACTTAGGACTTCTCATTTCTCTTCAAAATAATTATGAATATAGCATGAGTATGAATTAAAGAGTGTGTAAAAAAAAAATACATGATTTCTTATTTTTAACCAAGCACACCATATCTATTATAGAATAGGTAAACATTAAGCTCGTTTACCCCGTAAATGATGATTTTCATAATCTCTCATGAGGCTCTCCAAGTAAATTTATGATAGAAGCGAGTCTTTAACTTCCAAGTTGCATGCTCATAATCAAGGCCTCCTTGACTTTTTTTACAACTCCTGTGTAAATCTCTTCTAACTAAAACGAGCATATAACAATTGACATTTAATATATATATATATATATATATATATATACTATTAAGGTCGATCTTTTATTTCGATTTGTCGTATGGCCGATTCTTTGGTTAAGGATCAAATTATGTACCTCAAGAATAAAACTGGTTAGTATTTTCCAAAAATCAGCAAATGATAGAGCATAGAATTTCTTTTGTACTACAAGAACTTGTGATTGATTGGTAAAAGAACTTAAAAAACAAATAAATCGAGTCCATTCTATTGACAAATGCTAAAGGACTAATGGTCAAAATTATTAATGGCTAGTCCACAAAATCAAGCAAATTATTATTTAGGCTCCCCTATTTTCAAGATACGTAACCTTAATAATTCCTTTGTGACCACAATAAGGTGATTGGTAATTAAGGTAGTTCACGGATGTAATTAACTAAGCTACATGGCTGACTTCATTTCTTTTATGTTAAAACCCGAGTTGGGGGATCCTTATATTTTACATATGAACAATAGGCTAAAAGAAAAACTACATAAGAAAATGTACCAAATTCAGCCAAAAAACTCTCTCTTTTTTCATTTATAATAGTAAAACATTATTTGAATATGAAGATATATGCTAAGTAAAGATTTGAGTGCTTTAAAATTTGTTAATATTCCTTAATAGGGATCACTTAGAAACTTTCTTATCGTCAATAATCATAACTCATTTTCTTCATTGATCACAAATCCCCCAACACCAACTTGATGTGTAGCATTAGTAAGAAGCGTACAAGGTCTTTCAAGAATCCAATAAGTCAACATCACATATCTTGGTTCTACATGGTGGTACTCGAAACCTTCTTGTAAATCAATTTACTCACCCACTCAAAATCTATGTCTTATGAAAATATTGAATGAGCCGACATTCTTCATCGTTTTCCGGAGTGCATGAAGTGCGGATGGTTAAAGCCAATGAAATGCAACAATTTAGTATGGTTAAGTTTTGAGCAAAAGAAAAAGTTACCTTCACGAAGAATCGGAACAAGCTCGATCATTCCAAGGACAACTTAAGCCGATTCCCTTATTTCCTTGCAGATCAATTTGTAACGAACATGGGATATCCATGAGACAATTTAAAGCTCCGCATTTGACTAAAGCTTTGTAGCGAGTTTTTCAAGCATTGGTAGAAAATTACCTTAATTTTAACCCTTAATGAGTAGATTTTAACATCAACTTCTAAGGTATAACTCGCCTACATAAATTTCCAAGCCCCACAAAATAAATTCAATACTATCAATTTTTTTTCTTCATATTTTGCAATAAATAAATACAAAAATGACAACATCCATGCCATATGTATACTTCTAATCCATTTTATCGGTGAATTGATAATGAATAGCCCTCATGTACTTTAATGACTTCATCTAGAGACCTAGCTACCGCCATACCTTCATAGAGTTCACGCCAAGCATATTAATACCCCCTACAAACTAAATACTATTCAAAGACCATGTTTTAAACTTTAATACGGAAAAGGTTAAATTATAATCAATTAACAACTCTCTCTAAACGAACATGACAATAAACCCCTCACCGAAATGCATTATGATTGTAATGAAGTAATTTCTTATGATACTTGAGTATTGCTATTTCAATATCAAATAAAGATTTGGGTATAGTATTGTGAACACAGCTACGTATCTTAGATGCTAAAGGAGAACGCAAACCATGTCATGAGTTTTAACCATGTGACCATCTTCTTTAAACATTACAAAATGCCACTAAATGAATAATACTTCATTTTCCTTTCCCATACAGATCTTCTACCACCCTCCTCCCTTAGGAGTTATCAAGAAAAATGGTAGAAAAAAAACTTACGAACTAATCCGATATGACTAATGCAAAAACTATATTTGAGTTGGTCAAATAAATCATACGAGTATGAAGTTACTATGACTATGATATGGCCAACATATAAAACTAAAGAAAGTAGACAAAAATATATAGATTGATAAGTCTATAGGTATAGTCATGCCTAAACATTAAAACAAAATCTTTGCGGCAACAAAACAATTTTTTATCTAAAACACAAATAGAGAGGCATGCCCAAAACAAACTCATGGTTAAAGTATATTACAAAACCACCAAGCATGTAGAATTCGAAATAGAAAATAAGGGGTATCACCCAACTATATCCTAGGAAGGGACTGCGAACATAGTCTTATCCTTCATAATTTTATTTTGAGCTTCGTTATCAAGTTTTAATATTACAATGTCTTTTTTTGAGGCACAAGACTTAGATTGCAGTAAACGAGTGGTTTGTGTTAGGAAATTTGAGAAATAACAAGATTTAACAAAGTAACCATGTATAACAATCAATATTGGACCACCCTAGACTGTTCTAAGTTCTCAAATGCTTTTTCATGTTTATTGATTGTAAATTCACCTAGGCATTGAAAAGATTCTCACCTTGTCCATCACATATTGGTGAAAGGCATCCACAAAATGAAGGAATTTCTACTCCACAACTAGTGATGCTTATGGCAACTTACCTTTTGAAAATTGGTCTCAACATCATTTTCTTCTTCGAACATGATAATCTCAATCGAGATAGTTTATTAAATTTAACTCTATGTGTTCTTTGGATTTATTTTTTGCATTAAAACACCAAAATGAAAAATAATAATTACATTGAGAAATATTTGTTAGGGAAAGAGAAAACGGTGATGTTAAGAATCTTGGTAGTGATTCTCATGGGTCCTTTAAGCCTCGGTCTCTTATCTCTAGCACCACGAACTAGGTCGGTGCAAACTTTCTCAAGGTTTTTGATAATCTTGAAGGGAAGGGTGATCCCGATCCTATTAATCTGCTACTAGGTCTCCTCTAAAATCGACTTTTATGCCTCCATAGTTGCATTAACTATCGTTGCTACCATTTTCTCCTTCGTTGAGAGAATTGGAGAAACAGGGATGATTGTCTCGCTTGGAGCGAGGGAGCAATAGATGAAAAGGAGAGGATATGCTCGCTTGTCAAGGGAAGGATTTGAATCTTGGAGAGGGTGAATGAGAGCGATTTGTTGCTTGCCAAGACAGGGATCTAGATCTTGAAGAAAAGACTTCGAAGTTGAGGAGAGGGGCGGGATAATGAAGGAGTTCTTTCTAAACGAACAAAAAATAGAAAAAAAAGAAAGAAATGGTAGGTTAGTTACTAGACTTAAGAGGTAAGGGCGGTTTTATCAATGCCTTTTTTTTAAAAAAAAAACTATGTAAAATAAAAATTATTAAAGTTTGAGATGGTTTTATTGACCGCCACAAAGATTCTGCATCTATAATCCTTTTTTTGGTATAGTGATTGCTAGTGTCCATCCTCCACAAACTTCTTTAGGAGAAGACCAACTTATATGACAGATCTGTAACAACGGCAATTTTTTAATTAGGTCAGCTTATGGCATTCTTAGTACTAATTCTTAGCAATCTCGTCAGTTGATCTAGCGGTTTGACAATAGGATGGCCCTGATCGAATTTTTACTTTGTTATGTCTAATAGCACATGGCAAAATCCTTACAAAAGAGTAGAGAGTAATTTGTTGTTTAGCTATTGATGACGTTTGTATTGTTTTTTATTCATAAACAAAATCTGTATTGTATGTTCTAAGAGACTGCTCCCAAGCTAAGCTGATATGGGTGGGTTGTAGAGTGAGTGTAGTTATTCCTAATTTCTTTGTGAACGATCTCTAGGAGTGGTTGATCAGGAATATCTCTTATTCAGTGTCTGTGGTAGGGGGATATCTTGAGATATTTGGATTGGTTGATGTAGCTTGCTGAAGAATATGGCTTTGGCGTAATGAAATAATTTTCAATCCTAAAGTTAATTTTCTAGCTAATCCCATGTTCTGTTTGCGATCCTATATATGCCATTGAGATAAACTCTTGTATTAAAGCTTATTCTATTATTAAAGATAAATCTATTAGAAAGAGAGAGCAGCTGATTGGGTGGAGTGTTCTTTCGATTGGGTATGTTAAAGTTAACACATATGGCTTTGTATTCAATATGGATGGTTTGATGTTAAAAGGGAGGAGTAATTCGTGACTTTCCCGGAGTTTGGTTGCATGGATTTGTCTACAATAGTGACATCTCTTCCGTTCTGATTACGAGTTTTGAAAAATTTTAGTTGGACTCTGATTGCATGAAATGAAGGTTTTAGACATTTAGAACTCGAGGTTGACACTGAAGTGGGCTGTTGATCTACTAACAAAGAATGATTCAACACATCTTTCTAATATTCAGTTAGTTCAATCTATAATTATACTATTACAACGTTCGTGAGTTTTTGATTTAGGTAAATTTATGGTGAAGAAAACAAATATGCAAATTGGTTAGTTAATTATACTATTCTTTTAAGATTGGAGTTTATTATCTTCTAAAAGTCCTGATTAATTATATAAAATTATTATTCGATGACATTTGTGAAATTTCTTTCCTAGAATGATTGTCTAGCATTGCCCCCTTCTTAAAAAAAAAAAAAAATTCATGATAGTTTTTTACCACTTAGTCTTAATTATATATGACTATGAAGCACCCTTGCAATGCCACGTCTTTAATTATAGCTTGCAACAGTGGGTCACCCATGATCACATTCTAAAGAATAGGACAACCGGTAAAGGCATGTGATTTATTATTATTTTTTTAATGTAATCATAAATTATATAATCACGGCAATTGGTTTGTATAAAATAAAATGAGTGGAGCCTAATGCATGGATAAGTTTGGTCCAATCTTGTTGCTCAATGCTCATGCTATATATATAACAACGTTTTAAAATTTTATTTCAAAATTCATACATAAAAAAAAAATCATATATATATATATATATATATACTCTTATTTAAAAATAATAAGAATTCAACATATAAATTATATTAATTTATTTGAAAAAAAATAATCACATTTTAAAATTTTATTCCAATCATACAGAGAGAAAAAAAATTCATTTTTTAGCAAATGAAATTTGATAGAAAAGACAAATTAAAAACTAATTGGATGAGGATTTTCACATAAAATAACAAACTAAAGGAATAAATTTTAAATAATAAGAATAATATAATTTGAAATATATATTCGTTTTAAAATATGAAAACATATTTTCAAGTTGTTTGGAAAATCTACAAAATAACAATCGATTTTTCATAATTTTTGCACAAAATTCAACAATAAAATAAATTCTTGAAAATAAAAAAAAGAAAAGCAAAAGAAAAAAAAACAAGCTAGGCTTGTACCCTAGTAGCACTGGAGAACCAAACTTGTGCGAGACGATGTGTTGCTTATCTATTGCTCAACAACACATTATCTACCTTTAACTTCTAGCGAACTAGAGTTTGTCAAAACGTTTGTTGGAAAGTTAAGATTATTAGAGTTTGCTGGAAAGTTTTTAGAAAATTAAGGTTATCAATTTTTAGCATCTTGAACCCAATTTAGAATCTCAAAACTGATTTTAATGTACTTAAAATAACAAAACAAAAAAAAATCAAATGAAAGTAAAAAAACTCAAAATATTTAGGGTTCGATCTACATTTTCTAATTATTTCATCTTATGATCACTATAAACAAACTCTCTTCTCCAAGATAAACAACTTAAAGGCAAGATCGAGGGTCAAAGTAGTAGAAATAAACCTCCTTGTAACTTTCTCTCTCCTTCCTTCTTTTCATTCATTTCTATCGCCTACATCTAGAGATTAAATCATGATATACTTAAAATTGATAATCAAAATAAAATTATTTAAAAAATTAGAGATCAAAGTGTAATATTCCAAAAAATTTGCATATCAAATATCTAAAGACAACTTAAAAATCACAAAATACAACAACATAGTGAAATGCATAATAAAGAACATGTAAGACCACAATACAAATGGGTGTACATTAACAATTGAAGAACTAGTACACATTACTCAAAAGGATTGACTTGAATGGAAGAAGTTTTAGTCATTTAAATAAGTGTTTGCTTAAGCATGTTGTCTCGAATTCGAATCCTTATGTACGCAAACAAAAACTCTTTAGGTAGTTGTGTACTGTTTTGTATATCCAACTAAACATCGAATGATTAATTTAGGGCTTTAAATTTGAAATATGTAAAGAATAAAAAATAAAAAAAATAGTATGCATTGAAGTATTTGAACATTTGGTTTTACTATATGAATTAAGATGAATGTAGAAATCAAAATGACTTAGTTTATGCAAAATCAACATGGCTTTCAAAACCTTATTTCATATTATGGCTCGTGCTATATAGATATATAGGAATATTACAAAAAAAAAAAAAAAAAGGAAGCCACACTTGGCTTTTCTATTTTGATACAAAAATAAATACTTCAAACCTTCCCCATTGGTTTCTCCAATGGTGGAATTTCTATGTTTCTATTCCCGGTATACTTACACCGAAGTATCTAAAAGCTATAACCTCTTTAAAACCAGCTTATAAACCTTTGAAAATAGAAAAAAGATTTACCCTCTTTTCTTTTTTGTACAAGGTTTTTCCTACCCTAGGTTTGCTCTTGGTATTATGACTACGATCACCATGATAGCATTCTAGTCCTAACCGGAAGATTTCAAATCAAATGGTGAGGCTCTTTCAAAGTTCCAAAAACACCGTCACGAACCTTAGTTAAACAATGGCTCACAAAATAGGGTTTTTTCGGACCAAGCCTAGCCACTTCAAGTTTCCTAGCCCAAAGGTCCTTTGTTAATGCCAAGTTAGCAACTACAAAAATTGAAGAAGAACATTTTACAATTCTAACTCGGTTATTGCAAAATAAGTCCAAAGCCTCACAAATAGATAACTCGGACTCGGAGCCCACTATTGACTTGGGAAACGATAATGAATACAACCGTTTTGGTATCCTTCTTCATGTTCCTCATTAGTAAGGAAACCGACAAAACACCTTTCGATGATATATATAACTTGCTTTCGGTGCCCCACTATGTGATGAAGATTGTACCTTTCCAAGCAATCTCCCACTACAAAACAAAGATTGCACATTTCTAGGTAATTTCCCACTACAAGACGAAGATTACACCTTTTTAGGCAATTTTTCACTACAAAACGAAGATTGTACCTTTCCAGGAAATTTCCCACTACAAGATGAAGATTGGACCTTTCCAAGCAATTTCCTACTACAAGCCAACCATCCTCCATCTATTTAAGGAAGGCTTTTCTCTTTCAAAAACTCGAAGTTAGTTCCAACAATTACTCGTAACATAGTTTTCTCTCTCTAAGCTTGTTCTCCGTAATCCCTTAGAACAAATTTCCTCACTTGTAACCCACAAAACCGAAGGCATCATATCTCGCTTCGTTTTATGTAATTTGTAAGTCATTTTAATATAAATTTCTTATTTCATATTATGTCTTTGTTTAATTCTATATCTTTATTTTAAGGTATATCGACTAGAAATCAATAACCAAACCTTTAAGGTTTAATCTTTAGTATAACAATGTCACATACCATTTTGTTTAATTTATGTATTTTCTTTTGATATTACTTTTTCTTTTCATTACATGTCCTTAATCTTGGGTATCCTTGGTATCCGGTATCGAGCCATATTGATTTTGCTTGATGGTGGTATGTTTATATGTTTATTTTGTTCACGTTTAGATTTTGCTAAATAGCATAGGTATAGAAAACCGAGTTGATGACCCCGATTGTAAGTCCTAAGAGAGGCGATCAATTTGTTTTTATTACCTTCATAACTCGCGTACCTTGGTCACAAAACAAACTTTAAGTATGCATTCCATATTCCGTAGGTCTACCTCCTTCTCAAACTCTTCTACTTTTGAAACCTCGGAATCTAGGAAGATAATAAATAGTGTAAAATATGTTATAAAAGATTTTGAAAAACAAATAGATAATTAAGAAACCCCCAAAGTACATAAAGATGAGATTTATGAAACACTTCTTTTACAAACGGATATGACTAGAACCAATACTGTCATTCCTAAACCTATCGAG